TCTGCACAGAATAATGTTAAATTATGGCATGGGGAAAACAGAGAAAAATCTCAATCAGACCAAAACCGAAAAATACAAAATATATTAATAAAAGATGACATTAAATTAGCCATTACAATCAGAATAGTAAAATATATATGGCCGGTTAGCACTTTTATATAGATGATTGAGCCACTTGACAACTTCTTTTAAATTTCTTTACACAAGTATTATTAATCGATTTGGGAAAATTTCAATCAAAACAATAGGTTATGCCAAGAATGCTTAATCGTAACAAATACTAGGAATACTCTTGGTATCTTGGTGTCATTTAACCCATTTGAAAAACAGTACATGCGTCTGTCATAAAATAAGCAGAATAGTTGCATTAAACAGGAAAATCAACAAGCCATAAGGTCGAAATAAACTGCCGGCAGAGCCATAAAAAATGGACAACAGCAGGGACAGCAGACAGACATCAAATGTAAGTTGATTAATGCACCTCAAACACAACAACAATAAAAAGCGAAATGAACAAGCCACAACGCAACGCTGATGAGTCTATTACAGACAATAACAACAAAAGAAGCAGCAACTGACGCAATTGCAATTGCCCATAGATACACACAAACACAGAGAAACACACACATAGCTATAACCACCCCTCCAAGCAATCATTCGCACCAAAAAATAAAAAAGGCACGCGCTCTACGCACTAAAATACTGTCCATAAACGAAGCGCCAACCGCAATGGCTAAAAAATAAAGTACATAAGGAGGCCGTCATAAAAGGGAGCACTGCAAAAAAATCGCAACATTATCAGGCTGACCAACACACATACACAGAGTCGTTGTCATAATGACGGGGATAATGTGTGAGCAGTCAGTTGTGAAATAAAAATAAATGTGCTAAATGGATAATAAAATACAGAGAGCGACAGTCATAATGGCCACTCAGACACTCGACAACCAACAAAACTGAAATTGCCCAAAAAACAACAAACGCTGCGCATAGACGTCTTTTTTAAGCGTAATTTAACTGGTGTGGCCATTGTACTTAATTGAACTGTCACACACACAAAAAAAATTATATATATATATATATATATATATTTAGATAAACATAATAGCACACTACAGGCAATGGACCTTCGCAGTTTTTTCTTTTATTGCATGTGACATTTTGACAAGGCAGCAAATCACGAATTCCGTTTGTACTCGCGTATCAGCTATTAGCATAAATAGTCAGATCTGGTCAACGCTGTTGCTTTTACCGTCTAACAGTGTATACAATTTTGTATATATATATATATATATATGTATTTAGTGGAAACAGAGACTGCCAAAACAATAGCCAAGTTTGCGCTAAGCTGCTGCACTTCATGCCCAAAAAAGGTTGCAATTAAAATAAGTACTTCGCTGTTTGGCTGCCACGTTGCTCGCAGATTTAAAAGTGTATGTGTTTGTGTGGTGTGTATGTGTGTATGTATATACAACAGCAACACCCAAAAAAGTTACTCAAAGCTCTAACACATACAAAGAGCAATTTGGATATAAGCCTGTATATATGGGTATATAAGCACATTGTGTTCGCAAGCTAATTAAGAAATTACTGCAGGCAAAACAGCACCCACATACACCCCTGCCAGCCCCAGCACCACCCACAACCGCGCTGACGCCACCGCCATTACCGAAAAGCCATTCAATATAAGTATGTATGAGAACGAAAAATGATATTAACAAAAAAAAAAAGAACAAAAAACAAGGCCAATCCGAAACTGATTGGCATAAGCCGAAGCATCAATGAGCTGCATTAGGTGAACAATCAGTGAATTACAATATTTAAATGAGGTATCTTGGAATGATTTAACTAATAGTCATAATTTGCATATATTTCACATTCTTAGATCTTAAATTTACTTATAGCTAAGGCTTCCTTAATTAAGAATAATTTCCACTAATTACCATATCTAATACCTATGTTAAAATGAAGTATTTTATCAAATGATTGACTCTTTGACTTTCGCATATATGATCTAGTAGGATCTAGATTAAAATATTTTAAATCATTTTCGGTTTTGTCTAAGCTTGGTTTACAGCTATCGTAAGTATAAAATCATATGTATTTATATTATAAATTGCCGAATTTGTCTTGTAAGTTCACTATTTAAACTTATATGCTGCTCCATAAGGATGTCGCCCTGCTAAAAAAAAGTAGCTTACATAATCCAGCAACCAGACACACGCCGACTCCCACTCAGACAATTCACTTTACATATGAGCAAATGTGCTCCAAAGCAACCAAAAAAATAAAATAAAAAACCTAAAGCAAAAAGCAAACAAAAAACCAAAACTGAAATTATGAAAAGCAGTCAAAAAGCCAGCATTCAAAGTGCCCCGGCAGGCAGGGCGGGCAATTTTCATAATTTCTCTACAATTTTCAACCATTTTATGAAATGAATTGAAATTTTTGCTCTCTTCTTTTTTTTTGGCTCGCATTTCCTTCGACAAACAAAAAACGGACAAAAAAAAAGTCAAAAAAGCGAGAAAAAGTAAGTAAAGCCATCAAATCCATTCATGCGCTTAAATAAAATGCTCAAGCACTTGACTGCATCCATAGAAAAAAGTCTGGTTGGCGCAGTCGAAAAATGAAATAAAATAAAATAAAATATGCAAGTAAAGGGAAGAGTATCGCACATAAAAGGCAGTCTAATTTGTTCAGATGGCTTCTATGTAAATCAAATACCAAATAGAGTAAGTACCCTCAATATATATTATATATTTATATTTAACAAATGATATCCAAAGCCATTGTTAAAATTGTCTCGATTGTGGTTAAAATGTAATTAATGTCATGTGCATAAAATCCTCAATTTAGACAGTTAAGCAGCTAACAATTGCAATATATTTAAATAACTTAATATTGATTGGTCTTAAATTTCAATTTAAATTTACAATGCAAATAAAATGTATATTTTCTTGACAATGCAAATAATTGTTTTTAAAATGAGCATTAAAACAAATCGTTTAAATGTCTGTCTGACGAGTGAAATACAACACCTCGATTAATTAGCTATTATTCAAATCGTGCACAGTTGCGTTTTATCTAACAAACATGTTTGTGAAATGTGCAAATGTGGAAATGTGCATTTTGCAGCAACACGCACATCCATACGGCTTGTATCCTTCTCGTTATTCAAACTATATCGCAATCGTTTGTAGTGCATAACCGAAACCATTTATGCATTTTTATTGCCATTTATTCGCAGCGCACAATTTGCAATTTATTTTTGCAATTTAACACGCCGCGCAATGCAGCCGTAGGGACTGCGAGCGTGGGTGCATAGACAAAATGCACAGTGAAAATAAGAAATAAAAAAAAAAAAACATAAACATTGAACATACAATATTCAGCGCGCCTGGTGCGACTTAACAACAACAACAACAAAGTGCACAATAAATGGTAACTTAAATCGCCCAACAACAAACAGCATCAGATGCACAACAACTGCCATCAATTGTTGTTGTCGCTTGCAAACATACCACCATATCTACAGTTTAATTCATAAATATACATACACAAATGCATATGTATGTAGATGAATGTGTGCGTTGGCAATTAAACATAAAGAAGGATTTCAGGCCACTCCCGTTGGGGAATAGCACTTCCAAAGCTCATTTGAAAATTGCTGAAATAAAAATACAAATGTTTATTTAAAATGCCGGCAAATTGCCATGCGAAATCGAATTCACGACTGCAGATTGAAGCAGGAGCAATTACATAGCAATAGCAGAGTCAATAGCAGAACAAATGAGTGCTCTTTCACTCAGCTTTACTCTGAGCAAACAAATTATCATTGGATTATTTGTAGTTGTAGCAATATCAGAAAGAATAAGAGCATTGCATCCGAACTGTACAGATTGTGCTATTGCTAAAACAATCTCTTATTTTATTTGCTTTTTTGCTCCGCGTAACTGCTACGTGAGTTGTTGCCTAGTCTGCTATTAATATTCCATTAGGTACATTTTTCACCTTTTTTATTCGACATTTTCAATCAACTATCAACTATTTGTATAAGCACAAGATTTTAGCTCTCATTTTAAGATTCACAATTGAATTTGTTCCAATATGTAAAATGTAGAATCAATTTAATACTAAGATGATACTCAATAAGTAGACTCAGATGCTTTTTTTCAAATTGATTTTGAAATATCTGCACTTGTTCACATGATTAATCACCCAATATTTTACTCACCATGTTCCAAATCTTAGTCTATGATGAACAAGAAAGAGAATGTCTTCTTTTAATTACATAATTTTTTATTGGGTTTTATTCATAATTTTAATTTTTATATAAGCATGTTTTTGTGTATTTTTCTTTTGATCTTATTTTAAATTTAGGTTGCGCTGTGTTTTTAATACATTGAAGTAATGATTTAACTAGTTATTTGGTAATTGCTTGATATAGTACATACAAATACATACATATCTATATATATATATGCCAGTTGTTTATTAACCATGGCTTATACAGTGTACATCGATTGATTATGTTTTTATTATATATATTTAATTGCCTGCTTATGGAAACCAACAGCTTATTATTGTTACGATTATCATACATAACTATTTGATATTAACATACATTTGACCAGCAATGATAAATTAAAGCAAACTAAAACCGAATTATATTAAGTTAGCTTCAATTGGATATTTACAATAAACTAAATTGATAAAATGGCTTAAAAGTTATTGAGCAAGTGGGGCATTTACAATGAGAACGGTGAGAGAGTGATTGAAGATAGGGTATAAGTTTAAATATTTATAAGTAGCTTATGCCAAGCTGCAGAGCTTGAGATTGAAGCACCCTAACCACCACCCCCATACCTACATATTTAGATAAGCGAGCCCCTACAATAAGTACGTATATATATATATATATATATATATATATATATATATATATATATATATATATATACAAAAGCTTCAGGAACAAACTATTCAAAACTTTACAGCTTTTCATCGATTATGTTTATGAGGCACAGTGAGCCGTCCTCCATTTCGTTTTTGTTTTTTACTCTCGTTTTCTTTTGTTGTTGTTGCCTTTGTGGATAGCATTGAAACCAATTGATGTGCACTTAGCCGCTAATCCTTTTGGCAAACTTTTCAATAGAAATTTACAATGCAACTGGGAGTGGGCGGCATGGGCTGGCAGCCATCACTGGACCAGCTGCTCAGTAGGAGTGCGCCTTGTGGATTATCGATTTATCCACAGCAGCAGTGGGAGTCGCAGCCTGACTCGCACCATCTTTGCGTTCCACGCAATTGTTGTTGTTGTTGCTGTTGTTTTTTGTGCGCAGCTCAAAAGTGCTGGAGGAGGAAGGCGGCGGTGTCGCAATTGCTGATAGCGTTGAGCCGACACAGTTATTTGCGAGCATTTGCTGCTGATGCTGCTCCGAATCGAGCTCCTCATCGGCCTCCACATCGATGGCCGCATCGTCGTCGTCTGTGCCCGTGGCTTGCGGCTCCTGCTCGCCATCGGAGTCCGTTTCGAGAGAGCAGAGTCTCAACTGGAGCGCAGGTATTCGCTGCGGCATTGACAGCATCCCCGTTGGCAGTGGCGGCTTCAGCAGCGTCATTGGCGCCGCCAGGCAACCCACGTTCTATACCAGCGACGACAGCGGCGGTCGCGGTGGGCTATTGTTGCGGGCAACTGCCGATGCATAATACTGCATCGGATGATGATGCGGCGGCGGTGGTGGCACAAATCCAGCTGTGGTCCCATCATGATAGAGGACAGGCACACGCACCAGCCGCTGGGCAGCATGTGCCATGTTGGCCATGTTGGCGGCTTCCAGCTCGGCGGCCAATTGGCGTTTCCATTTGTTGCGTCGATTCTGAAACCAGATCTTCACCTGCGTCTCGGTCAGACGCAGTGAGGCTGCGAGTCCCGCACGCTCCGATGAGCTGAGGTAGCGTTTCATGTCGAACGTGGACTCCAGTTGGAATACCTGGGCGCGTGAGAAGACCGTACGCGTTTTCTTCTTACGCTTGGAATTGCTGCCGTCGCCGTGCGGTGATGAACTGTCGGATGGGCCATCGGTGCCATCGTCTTCCTCAATGATTTCCTCGCCATCATCGTCTGACTCGTTGGAGCTGGTGGGCAGCATGTAGCCGGCGCTCGTATGAGAGCCCGACAGATGATGTCCATGATGGGAGAGCCCGCCGGCGCTGCTGCTACTGGTGGGCGTGCTGGGCTGATGTGGATGCTGTAAATGCTGCTGCTGGGCAGCATGTGGATGCTGTTGCTGCTGCTGCTGGTAGAGTGGGTGATGTGTGTTGTGGTGCGATCCAGCCAAGCCGGGTGGTGGTGATTTGCTGGCGTGTCCATTGCCCGCATTATTGCTGTTCGCATTGGCAGTGCTGTTGTTGTTGTCGTTGTTATTGTTGTTACTATTGTTGTTATTGTTGCCGCTGCTGGGACTTAGGGATGTGGGCGATGGTGGATTTTCCGTGGTATTTGTAGAGGAACTGTCTGCAGAGAGTCAAAAGAGAGAGAGAGAGAGCAAGAGAGAGCGCATGAGTGACAGAGCATGACTCGAGTATATAGAGAGAGATGGAGGGATAGAGAGAGAAAGAGAGAGCGCTTGGCCTGTGCAATATTTTTTAGTTAATTTAACTGCCTGCCTGCCTGCACATGTGTGTGTGTGTGTGTGTATGTGTGGTTGGGTGGGTGTTGTCGTATTTCCGCGTATGAGTATGGAGGCGAGGGTGGCTGCTTTAAGGGTTGTTTAAGACGCGGTATGTGTCTGTGTGTGTGTGTGCTGCTGCACAGATTTAAGCTGCAACACTTAACCTCACACTTGCCTTCGTCTTGTTTCTTCCTTTCTTTTGTTATTATATTTGTGTGTGTGTGTGTGTGTGCCTGCAATCCAGTTAGCGCGCAGACGCGGAGAGCAATTGTCCTCGCACAACTCCCACTCCCCCCAACCACACAACATATATGGCTACATACAACTCTGAGTATTTGTGTGTGTGTGTTAAATTACCATTTAAAATGGCTGTCAGTCAGGTGAGCAATTCTATTTTTATTGAGCTTTTAGTTTGGAACCTATTTGCAAAGTTTAAATTGCTGTACTTTGCTCCATATGCATTTAACGACCCTTCCAATGCCCCTCACCATACAAGCATAGCATACAAGAACAATTTGTTCACTTCAAACTTGACTAGAAAACTCTGAGTTGAATTAACTAAATTCCGAAGCCTCGCGGGGTGCAAAACTTAAGGCCAATTTACATGAGCAAATGCAATTGCATTGACTTCTAATGCTACAGGCCCAATCAAGTGGGCTTTAAGCAGCATAGTGGCATATAATAGCCTCCAAGCCCACTAGTGGCGAATACCTCGCGCACTTAATACCCAACAAAGGGAAGGCGAGCTTGTCAAACACTTTGTACTATGTGCCCCGCATTCGTAACTCGATACTCGATTACAAATTGCAATTAATTGAAAATGGCGATTACTGCAGCCGTGTATTTCTGAATAGCGGACACTCTGCCCCAAGTGGCATGCCACATCTTGGGACTATGCTAACCCATCCACTCGTGTGTGTGTGGGGGTCTTTTGTACAATGTGTTGCCTGCCTCAGGGCGCACTTAGTGCGAAATGCATTGCTCGAATTCTTGTGCGCATTAGTCAAGTTTGCGCCACCAACTATGCAAATTAAATGTAATGCTTTAAAGAATGCCAGCCAATGCACATTCCTTACTCAAGAATTCTAGTTATTTCTGTAGCCCTCTTAGGGGAAATTAGCTAAGCTGCGAATTATCGGCAGCAAAATGCGATTGGGAATGGAATGACATGAAATTTAATTAAGCGACATAAATAAATAGTCAAATGCACTTTTAAAGCTAATGCTTCAGCCAGGTCTATCAGCTGATCCATCTACAATATCTTGTATCTAAATATTTAAGGCTCCAATTTATCTATTAATTTCTTTGAAATCTGTTCCGTATTCTAATCCAGTACTCTTGAAAATATTACAAATTCCTATTCCTTAAACTTTCACTTGCATCTATCCAATTTCATAAATACTTCAACTGTGTAACTTTAATAAGTTGATTGTATTCGAGCAAAAAGGAACTTACCATGTGTTGGACTATGGAAGGGCATTCGCTGTGGTGCCCAGGGCCAGCCAGGTGGGCATAGAGCAGCATAACGTCCAGCCAGAGCGCCCCATTGGGAGATGAAACCCAATCTGAAAATAAATAGAAACAACAATGATGCAAAAAGCAAAGGTTAGTAAATGCCATAAATTATGCAGATTTATAATTGCCGTAATTTCAGCTGTACGGTATTTAGACCATTAACATGAACATTTAATATATATAGCCTGATGCCGACGGCAAAAAAGTTGCTGGCAAACTGAGATAAGCTAGAAAAGTATCAAAGAAAGAGCGACCCTTAAATGCTAAGCAACCCCACACCAGATAACCGCCATAACTGGCAACAGCTGCTGCGAATTTTGCTCCCCTAAATAACTCACATATTTAATATAATATACATATAAAATATATATAAATGTTTGTATGTATGCCTGTGTGGGTGTGTGTGTGTGTGTGTGTGTGTATAAATGCCGGCGTCCATGTAACCTTGTTAGGTTGCTTGCTTAAAAGCATCTTTATAAATACATTTATTTATTTATGTTAGACGCAGCAAAGTTTGAAAGACGAGAAACACTTTTTGGCGTTTACGTTATAATGTGTTCCATATACGAGATATATATATATATTTATATATATATGTGTGTGTGTGTGTGTGTGCGGGGGGTGGTTTTGGGGGCTTATTGTGCTAAATCAAAGTTTTCAAGTCAAATCATTCAGGCAGAAGCTAATGCAAGAGGTAATTGGAAGAAAGCTGCTTTTGTTTTACCGAGGGGTAGCACATCTGTGGATGTGGGGTTGGTGGAGAGTTATTGCCTGGTTGTGGCACTTAAGAGCTTTTCTTGTAGCCACCGCACAACCACCACGACGACCACCACCACTCAAGCAGTCCGGCTGGGCAATTTGATTGATTTATTGATATGTTTAAAAGTCTCTCCGGTGTTCTTAAGCTTCCCACGCACTCAATGAACTTTGCTGTTTAACAATGCGCGCGGGACCAGCCGCAGCCACAGTTACAGCTACAGTTGCAGTTGCACTGCAGTACATTCCCACCAGTCTAAAATACCAATGGCTGAACACAATACGAGCCCAAGTTTGCTTTTGGTATTGTTTTGTTTGGTTTGTTTTCGTGCTTGTTAAACCCTTTGACCGTTTTGCAAGTGACCCGTGGCCAAGCAGCAGACTGTGATTTCATTTTGAACACAGCCACCCCCCCAAAAAGTCGCCCAACCACCCTTCAGACAGACAGACAATGTGCTGGCCAAGTTGTGTGTGACATTAACATTTAGCTGACCTCTTTCTCAACGGCCAAGGTGCAGGTGTGTAAATCAATAGTTGTCAAGCTCTTTCTCTCTCTCTCTATCTCTCTTACTCTTTCTGTCTCAATCTCTCTCTCTTTTACTCTCTCCTTTCCTCTTCTACGTTTTGTAAGTAATGTTTTTTTCAATTAAATTTACCTTTTGCCCCCGCCCGCTGCTAAATTATGAACCACTCCCTCCGCAAGCGACGCTTCAAAGGCTTCCCCAACTGGCTAACTGGCTATTTGGCTGCTTGGCAAGCTGACGGCTCAAATCACTTCTAATGGGCTTCATGTTTACAACGTCAATTGAGAGAAAGCCGATTTTGCTCTCGTCCAAAAGATGACGCCCTAGCAACTCCTCAAATTACAGCCAAGCAGCTCAAATGAAACAAGAAATTAAAAATGAAAAAAAAACGAGAAGAAATTACCTCAATTACTGCGCGAAAATGGTGCTCGTTGAATGCTGTCAACGGAAGGGGCCCCAATGAATTGCAAACAGCTTGTAGCTATTTGCTTTACTAATTATCCAAATCAAAGGCTCCCCGACCCAAGTCCGAGGCATTTGTTTTCCGCCCAGCAATGAAATAAATACAACATTCCATCGCCCGCGGCTACCACAGACTCACAGCACGTCTCTATCTCCGTTTTCATTGGTGTCACTTTGTGGCGGAAGTGGATGACCATGTTTAAAATTCAACGGAGTGGGTGCGCTACAGCAAACCGCCCCCGGATCTGTCAGAAGTCAACGTGGAGCGACCCAACAGCGCCCTCCCCTCACTTCTCAAGCCAACAAATGCCTGTTCCAGCTCAAGTTGATGCATGGCTGTTATTTCTCGTTTAATGAATTGTTTGCGGTTCTTGCTTTGGGCTTCTTCCACGTCGCTGTCATAATTCTTCTTGGGGGCCTTTTGTGCTAGGATAAAAGTGTGCTATGCAATTGAGTTGTTCAACATGGCAGTCTACATGGGTTCTACGCCTTGTTTTGCTATTTTACCGAAAGGTCCTTGCAAGCTTGGGTCTACTTTGGGTCTTAAAGAGCTTTGATGTTTTGCATGGTTAGGCATGGGTAGAAGGTCCCAACTCAATATGATATAATGGTTGAGTTTCAAAGAAAAGAGATTTTTCTAAAAAGTTTATGAAAACAATTAAGTAAACCCCATTCACTATTTTAATCAAAGAAGCTAATTGTATAAATATTTTAAAAAACCTATTTCAAACTTATAGAACGAAAGTCAAATGACCAAGACAACAATATATATTTAAACCAATTGATTACAGAATTTGAAAAAGAATTTGAATTTGACACTGAGTTAAATTTATTAACATCTAGCACAGATACCGATTTTATTTGTACAAAATTTCTCAACTAATAGTCTAACAATTCCAAATCAGCATTTGAGCAAAATGCATGGTTATCCTTTATTATTTCCATTTACTTTTCATTTAATCTGCTCATTTGAGAATATTGCATGTTTAACTCAATAATTTCCTTACTTAGTGGCGCAGAAGCCGAATCACTTCAATTGCTTCATAAGCTTAACTTCTTCAAGTGCCCGCAGATTTCAACACTTCAATGCTCTTTGCTTAGATTATTCGACCCGACAGCTGCCTTAACCAGGTCAGCGAAGCCACTTAAGTGAAAACCGCCCGAAAAGCATATCACATGCAAAACGACAATTGTCGCACAAAAAATTAATTTAAATAAATAAATTTAAATGTTAACAATGAGTTCGTGTGTGTCTGTGTGTATATTGTGTGTGTGTTTGTGTGTGTGTGTGCACAGGCCTAAACCGCTTAGGATTCGCTCATGTATAAAAGATTTGCACACGCTAATTGGCTGCATGAAGGCCCCGAAATCGGTAAAAATGCATTGCCTAACCACATTATATTTGGTATTTGTGACATTTTGAACGGGTGTCAACGGTGCGGGCACTCGACCCGACCACAAAGTAGCCAAAATATTGAACAGCAGCTCACAGTTGACTGGGCAGAAGAGGGGCTGAAGCTGAATCAGTAGCTAACCCGGTTGGCTTACTTTTGTCATTAAACGGGATTAGCATGAAAATATTGTCAAATATATATGTATGCATGTACAATATTATATTCGATGGCGTGGAGCGGCTTAGGCTAAGACTGCCACTTGAAAAATGGTGACATTTGTGGTGAGCGCAAAATTAGTTTTTTGGTTACGCCACAGGAAGTCGCACAAATGACACGCGCCCAAAAAGGAGTCCAAAGCCCAAAGCCAAAGTCAAGCCTCAAATCTAGATGTGAAATCAGTGCATGATGCACTGCGAATATGTTTTCATTAAATGGAAACAAAGTGTGCCCGACATTACATCTAGATAAAAACGTCACAAATCGCAGACCACTTCACCACTAAATGCCGCTTCAGTTAATCCCTTTTGTGATAGATTAGATATCACAAAACCGCGCGCAATGCAATGGGACTGAAATTGGATTGTAATTACTCCACTATATAATTATATTGTCATGCCATTTATTCTCGTTATCCTTGTACATGAACAAAAAAAAACAAAAAAAAATATATATATATATATATGAAGAGTAAAAAGAGCAGCGCACAATAGACACACACGTACTAAATAGTACATACGTTTCCTGGACTTGAGCACCCCTTCCGTTAGCTGAGTAGTCCCTTTGTTGGGCGCACTCACAAGCATATCAGGTTACAGTTACAGCGCTTAACTGCGTTCTTTGCTGCGCCATAATTAAACCGCAGTTGCAGAGCAGCGCAACTTCGACAGTAGCTGACCACTAATTAAAAAACGTAATGCCAATGTCAAAATACGCGTTTGTATCACACAAAAAAAGGTGGCCCAGGTGAAAGTCCCTCATCAGTATAGTATTTAAGTATAGGTATTTGTATTAAACGATCACTCAGCATTTTTGGTGCGCTTGCATTAATCATTCGAGAGACAGAGAAAGAGCAACCAACTTCGATGATCAAGTGATAAGCCCGTCACATAGCCAGCCACACGTCAGCTGTAAGCGCCAAACAGCAGGAGTCAACACTTGGCCCAAGAGCGAGGGCGATCCTCGCTCTTAATTGGGGTAACCAGCACGCGACCCTCGCGAGCGGACTCCCTTATCGCTGCATCGATCGGTGAGCGCATGCGTAAATGAAATGAAAATGATCATTATTAAAATGAAAAGAATAAAAGAAACGCACAGGAAAGCTGACAAGAACCAAAAAAAAAGAAGAAAAAAACTGTCTGCTTTGCATGTGTCCGGCGAGCGCATAAAAAGTCGGGGAGTTCAGCTCATAACAAAAAAATGAAAAAAATTAATAATAAAAAAAAGTGCAACATTTTTTTAATTCAACACATGCTTTAATCGAGCAATTCGAAATTTGATCACTCGACTCATGTCCTTTTTATGCGCATTTAAATGCCGGCTAACTGGGGTTAGCAGGACACCGTTTACTTTTCATACATATCAACTTATCGATGAGCTGCATTCTCAAATGTAGGCGGCCCTCAATGACTGTCTACACACACAAACACACACACACACACATACACACACGTATGTAGGTCAGTTCAGTGAGGGTTCATTCATTTATTCAGTACAAAGTTGTATTCATACATTTTTACATGCCGGAATATTTCCAGACAGTTATGCATATGTATATGTTTTAGGATATTGCATTGAATTTCATTTGCAAATGTTGCGAAATTTGATACTTTCGTAAATTGCATAGCCAAATTAAAGGAACCGGTATCGATTTATAATAGTATTCATTATGCGTCCAATGGTCAGTTTGAAGCGGAAGCGATACGATTAAAATATCTCTTATTGTGCAACACAAGAGGATCTCACCAGTCAAAATTTCTGACTCAATATATACTAATGGCAAAATTCAAATCTTATATAACTGATAAAGTATCAGAGCTGGAATGTTTGTTATTATTTTTTCAATTCAAAATCGTATTCTGAATGATACGTATCACAACTTTTTGAAATTAATTGCAATCGTTAGAAGGATTTTAGTTATGCACAATATGATTATATGTCAATTAAGCTGATTGTGATGATTATCAACAGTAGACTAAATGGTAGCAAATATACATTTACTTTACTTTCAGACAATACGCTACTTAAAATTGTGCATTTGAAACCTCATCAATTGGGTAAATTATAAGTCATACTAAGTAAGGCAACCTTTTGCATCCTTTTTATCGCCAGCCACTCATCTCGGCAATCACTTAGGGTGTCCTGTGACATTCACTTTTCAATCTAGCTGCATTTCCATTAAAATTTCTATCTTGGCAATCAGCTCAAACAACAACTTCAACTACTCCTCGTTGTTAGACAGTATGCGTGTGTTTTTCCACAGAACAGATTTGCGTCACCTTCAGACAACTCGAACCCAATGCTATTGTTTTTGAATACCTTAAGGATTACACAAAATTTGTTCAATATTTTCAAGGAGCAAAGAATCGAAACAAAATCAGGTGAAATTGTAGCCGCTTAGGCTCATTGAAAACTGAGGGAACGCTTGACTTTTTGGATGGGAAAACAAAGAGCAGCACTCTTGGCTCTTAAGCCGGGTCTAAACAGCTCTACAAGTGCACCTGAGTAGCTGTCGAACACTAGAAACAGTAGCAAACTCACCTTGAGAGCATGGCCGCATCCTGTGGTCCGCCCGCGCCGCCTCCATGCGGCAATTGTGGCGTGGGCGTTATCAGCGCTGTGGCGCCATTCTTTCTCGCCGGCTCGCTGCGACTCAATATGCTGGAGATGGAGAAGCTGGTGAAACCGTTGGAGCCGGTGCTGGCCTTGTTGCCATTGCTGCTCGTATTGCTATCATTGCTGTTGGCGCCAACGGAAGCCGCTGCTGCTGCCACTGCGGCTGCTGCCGCTGAGGCACATGTGCTATTGTGGTTCACCATCTTGCTGTTGTTGTTATTCAAACTGTGGCCGAGCTCCTCGCTGGCGCTGCCATTGCGGTCCAGTTCCGGAGACTTGGGTGCCATTGCGGCCAGTGCGGGCGGTGAACTTAATCGATCTGCCAGATGTGTGGGCGCCACAGCATGTTGCAGCAGCGCGGGATGCTGTGCCGCATGAGCCGGATGCAGATGTCCAAAACTGTGTAGGGCATGATGCAGCGCGACAGGATGGCCGCTGAGCGAGCTGAGATGATGCTGCAGATGATGATGGAGCACCGCCGGCGGCACAGCGCCATTGGGACTGTGATGATAGTGTGGAACCGCGATGGCTGACGTTGATGTGGGCGTGCCAGCGGTCGTGTTGGGCGTGGAGCGGTGCGTCGGCGTCGCTGGTGGCGAGCTGCCATCAACGGAGCGCGCCAGGGGACTCTCGCGACCATTGCTCATGCCGGCGGCACCTAACGGACTCGGCTCCGGACTGGACACCACACTGATATCAACTTCGGCCTCAGAGGAAGACATTTCGCACAAAAGCACTTTTTCTATATTCACTTTCAATTTTCAATATTTGCAATTGTTTCACAATGTTTTCTAAATGTTTCGATTCAGACACTGGGCTCAGGTGGTCAATTGGCTCATTGGGTGCGAGTTGAGCACTGAATGACGAGCATCTAGCACAGGACTTTAATTTACTCAGGTGGCAACCGGGACGTCTGCACCGTTTGATCAACGATTCGCATTTAAATTCAAATGTTTGCTGTTAACAGGCGCAAAGTCCTCGACGCGTCTGCCTGCCTCTCGACCTCTCTCACTCTCGCACTCTCTCTCTGTCTTTCTCTCTCTCTCTCTTTATCTCACTCTCTCTCTCTCTAATGTCTCCTCAGTTTGTGTATGTGTGCACGTGTATGTGTAAGCGATCGTTTAGTAATTTTATTGTTTAAGTCTCTGGATTTTTAACCCCCGGTCGTATCGTAGAGCGTGTGCGCCGACTGCCTGCTGCGGCACTCAACTGAAACTGAAACTGAAAATGTGCTAAACACAACTGAACTCAGCTCGGATGGTTGGTTGGCTGCCTGCCTGTCTGCCTGCCTCTGTTGGCTGTGAAATTCTTTTGGTCGTTGCGCTAAATGGTTTTCCGCAAGTTTACACACACACACACACACACGCACACCTAGAGGGTGAAGCAGAGATAGCTATTCCATTAAGATGGGAGGGTGTCTACATGCATGTATATATAAGAGTGTCTGTGTGTGTGTGTGTGTGTTTCTGGCGCTCTCTCTTTTAATCATGCGCGCTCTTTCTCACAGGGGTGGCTCTCTCAGCGCTCTTCTTTCTTTTTTTTTTTTTTGTTCTGGTCTGTTTCGATTTCCATTCCATTTGCTGAGTTGCGTTTCTGTTCGCTTATTTCGACAATTGCGCTGCAACCGCATCGACAGTCACTTTGCGAATATTCTTCTTTTTTTTGTCGCTCTTCGTAAATTGTGACAATAAAAATAAAAAAAAAAAAGCAAAACAAAAATCACGAGCAGAAAGTTTCAATATGAGCCTGAAACACTTGGCAATTGAAACATGTCCAAGTGGGGCGCGCTTAGCCTTCGTGCACCTAAACGAATGTGTGTGTGTGTGTATGTGTGTGTATTTGTGTGTATGTGTGGTGGGCATCCATTGAAATGCCAATATAAAATCAATCAATTGGCACCCAACAAGGGTCAAGTGCTGCTCTGTGTGCAGTTCTATTGCTCCAAAGTGTGCAAACCATCTTAATTGATGGCAGTTGAAAGGTTCCGTTCGGGTGAATTGAGCTGCGTATTAGAAAAGGCTTAAGTTGAACATTTACTTGGCCATATTTAACAACCAAAACAAGCCAGTTGTCTGTGTGAAAGGCTTTATCGTTAGCTAATCGCACAAGACTAATATAAGTAGCTGTAAAATACCGTTCACAAGATAAAGATAGTTAATCAGTATTCATTTATGATATTTAAATACTACTTTTTGAGTCACGCAAAAGTATTTTATAGAAATCTATAAATTCTTTCTATTTATTTATTTTAGCTGATTTTATTATTACGACTAGGACTAAATAAAGTTGAATGATAAAATCGCTGCATATTATTTATTTAAATTTCGAAATATTTATCACATCTGTGATTTATTTAATAAATATTGAAATCTCAGCATAATTCTGTGAAACCAATACAACAGCGCAGCGGATTGAAATCACGGCACACTCATGTTCTATTCCAAAATGTTTCCGGTTTGCGAACAACCCCCACAGAGCACAGAGGCAGCCATTTTTACAAAAGCTGAGCAAACTTTGCAGACAAACGAGAGCAAGAGGAAGCGAAAGAGACAGAAAGAGAAAGAGAGGGAGAGGGAGAGAGAGAGAATGAGGTAAATTGAATTTTTAAATGCTTTCGACTGAGACGACCACGAGGCATTCAAAAAGTGTTGCAAGCAATTTGCACAAGACAAAAAAAAAACGTTATGCGAGGCAATTGCACACATAGCAAACTGGCAACTGAGAGAGACACAGCCACCAAAAGAGAGAGAGACAGACTGAGCAAGAGAGAGAGAGAGAGAGAGAGAAAGAGAGCGAGTGTGTGCGTGTGTGTAGAGCGATACTCAATTTGTTGAGAGTGGGCGTGTCGCTGGCAAGCCAATGGGAACTGTCCGCGGCCACCACTACCGCTCAGCTGACACCGCCGGCAAATAACTAAAAACATTTGCCACCAAGACGGCAACGGCGGCACAGAAAAATGCGTAGAAATTCATGCGCAATTACATTTATCCTGTTTAGAAGATTGCTTTGCCAAAGTGCGTCTGGAAGAGCTGCCAGCCACCGCAAATTTTGGCGCTGTTTCTCCCCCCCAACAAATACACACCATATACTTGTGTGTGTATCTGTGTGTGTGTGTGTGTGTGCGTGTGTGTGTCGTGGGGAGAGGTGCTGAGAGTTTTTCCACCTGCTGGCATTGCAGCGTAACATATTTTTATATAATTTCCCTCTACGCTTTGCTTGTTTTTGATTCGTTTTCATGTTAGATTCCGCAATAAGAACATCCCATTGAAAAGCAGCCCGGAACGATTTCAGAGAGTACAGCAGCGACGACGTTTAGTTCAAAAGGTGTTGACACTTAGGCGCTGCCCCACTTTAATTTGAGCTGAATGCACAAATGGAAATCGCGTTACTTCTCTTATAAAGGGGGTTGGCTGGGTCTGGGTCTGGGCCTGGGCAGAGGGCAGAGGGCGTCACTTATCGCCTCGTCAATGTCATTTGGGCACTCTTAGTGCCCAATAATACTATCTGTGTGTGTGTGTGTGTGTGAAACAATTTCATTTCTGTTTCAGTTTTCGATTTCGAAATCAGATTTGATTTGAGTTCTGTTGGGTCTACTACAACCATTATTTGCCGGCATTAATTAGCCAAATTGACATTGGCACGTCAAAAAGGATGCTAATGCTAATTTGAATGGATGCATAAACAAATTAATATCTCACCAAAACACATGAAGTTAATGAAAGTGTTTCGCTTACTCACAAAACTAGCTCAGGATATTTCGATATGTAGTCCAAATTATCCAACCTTAATTCGCAATCCCAAAACTGAAGCTAAAATTTCAGCACCTTTGCTCTTAGCCTACCCAAGCACATTAAACTCAATCCCTGACCGCTGGCCAGGGGGCAAAGCCAAGCCACAAAAATTCCGAAAGCAAACGACCAAAGCTCTTTACTTGGAACATTTAAAAGAAATAACAAACTGTTCAACTGTCGGACAAAACGATTCTACAACAAATTGCACTGCAATAAAAGAGTGTGTATATATGTATACTATGTGTGTGTGAGTGTGTGTGTGTTGGGCTGAGTAAGCGAGAGAGCAGTTGGTGTGTTAGTGCGAAAGCGAGGAGTGAAACCAAAGCCAAATCCAAAAGCAACGCAGACAAGCTGCAAAGCTTTTCGATGTTTCTGTGCTTGCTATATACATATAGATATATATATATATGTATGTGTATATGTATATATACATGTGTTACATCTGTGTATGTGTGTGTGGCAATGGCAAACAAGAAAAACAAGCCTTAATTGACGTACGAGCAAAGTGGGAGTTGCAATTTTCATTGACTCCACTTTAGCTGGCAGTTGGGCGCCCACTTTGCACGCCTTGGCTTGGATTTGCTTGGAGTGGGCTGTCTTTGCATAGCAACGCTGAGGTTCCGCTCGGGACTCAGATGCTTTTGATCGGCCTCCGAAACCAACTCTTCTGACTCTGTAGATACTCACCTACGATAAACACACACACACACATACATGTATATATATATATATATATATATATATACAAGCATAGTGTAGATGCCTCAGGCTGGCTACGCTTGCTCGACTTAACTGCAATTAATTTGGCAATTGACGTTGTTCAATGCTGTTAGCGGCATAGCACTGGGCACAATAACAACATAAATTCAAGAGTATTTTGTCGAAATCTCCTGCGGCTCCTGTGGCACGTCGAAAGCGGACGCTCCATTTCGTTATCGGACACATTAGGCAAATGGCTGCGGCTTTTGTTTGCTATTAACATTTATATAATAGGCGAAAAGCATGCTAAACAATAAACTGCATGGAATCGCATGGTATGGTTAAAAGCAAATGGAGTTGTATTCCCCTCTCGTCTACCGTTTGCGTCTATTTTGGCTATTAGTCGTGTAAATTTGTGACGCGCTTTTTGGGCTTGGCTTTTGTCTTCATTCAAATGCAGACAATGGTTGAATAAAATATATAACCCTCCCACACATACACTCACACAGAAAGAGAGAGAGAGAGACAGAGAGGGAGAGAGAGAGAGAGAGTGGGAAAACAAGGTAAGAATGTCTTTAGAAATATATATAGAGAAACACACGCAACCTGCGCGTTCCCCTCTCGCTGCGCTCATAAATAACGCTTTAGACTTTGATTTAAATAAATTGTATTACGAACGCTCATATTTTATCATTTCAACAGTTTCGCGTGGCCCTCGATTCGAATCGAATTTCTTGTGCGTTTTTCAAATGACTTACTTTTTTAAGGCCAGGACAATGACATCCTGCCTGATTGAGTGCTATTCCTGCATCATAAATTGTATGCCACATAAGTGCAGCAAGTCGTTAAACTGCTTTTCGGCGACAGACATGCTAAGTGTGTGCATATAAAAATAAAATTACATGGCTCTGACCTCATTTCGCTGTCTGGTCTGAAAGCAGATCCTTGTGCTAATTCACAAAGGTATTTTAGTTAAAGTATATGCATTTTAAGTCTTAAATCATAATTAGTGCGTCGTTTTGTCACACAAATTAATATATTATGTCTAATTGTAATCTGTGTGTAGTCGAACTTTATAAAATAAAGGCTTATATTGATTGCCAGTTTTTAAATGATATAGTAATATTTGTATTTGTATCTTCTTATATATACACAAACAAATTATACACAGAATCTTCTTAAGACGGAAGTTTGCCAAACTTAGTCCGCATTAAATGATATATAAGTTGAATTCGAGTGTTCGAAATATTATGTTTTTGTAGAGCACAACTTGTATGCACTATCGAGCTGTCAGTGGACATCAGTGGACAGTTACCACGAAAAAAATATAACTACAGCAATGTAGAATAATCAATTCAAACTCAAACCTCAAAAGTGGAATCAAAAGAAAGATGTTATATGAAAAATTGAGATATATAGATTTTTTAAATTAAATTTTTGCGCAAAAACATAATATATCAAACTCAAAATTAAAATTAAGATATCAACCGACTTACTTGGGTCTGCAAATGTATCTAATTTTCTGCCTGCCTTAAATAACTGATCATCTTTGATTT